AATTTAGAGAATATAATAATTGGTAATGTGTTGACCCTTCTTTCTAAAATATCATGGTTTACGTCAATCCCATTCAGATTCCTAGCTCCACCGGAAATGAAGGATTATAAGAATGATCCTTAATTCTTGGCATTATCAAATGCATCGTAATATATGTTTTCCTTTGCCTACCATGATTGGATCCACGGTTTTAATTAGCACATGATGATGATGGGAGTGAATTCATACTATCCAATTAATTATTAAGAGGTAGTTTATATTAAGTTAGTATTGCATTCCCACGTCTTCATCTTTGTTTGGTAACCTCAAGATCCTGAAACAGGAGTTTGAAGCGCCATTGCCGGACTTTCCAATTGAACACGCTGCGGGCGATGCAACTCGGCAAGGATTGTTTAATTAAATTTATTTAGGATGGTTGTGATTGTGTGTCGTTTAGAAATAAAATACGGTAAACTTGGTTTTTTTTATCGAAAAACATTTAGCTTCTGTATAGACATAAAAAGCCATATATATACATACAAATACCCATGGATTTTATGTTTGTTTACTCGCTTAAGATAATTCAGATGTTGTGCAGCTAAAAGAAAAAAAAAAAAGAGTTAAAGTAGAATGATTTAAGTTCCAACAAATAGTTGACATATGTGTGGTGGTTTCTATTGCGCTCACAGTGAATTCGGGATACCATATATTCATGGTAAGAAAATACGATATTTAGATTTTGAATTAACTGAACTTGGGGACATAATATTATACCATAAATTCTAACGAAGGAACCTTAGATCTTATCTAAACCTTATATAAATACTAATATGGTGCATAGCTAGAACATTATATGTATTTCGACAAATCGAATCGCCAATCATTGTTTGTAATTGGTTAATCAATCTTATAGTATATAATTTGGAGAATTATAACCTATGATTTACTCCACAGGGTTCATGATATGCCCCAAAATTCTATCAATATATCCAAAATCAAGATGCCATAAATTCACCTGAATATTATGGAACTCTACATTATATAAATAGGTGGCATGAACCTTGCATAATTAATTATGTAAATAACCCTAGATTTTACATAAAACGTGTCTGTGATGGTTTATTCCGAGTTTACTAATTCATAATTTAGATTCAAATTCTCCACTGTCAAACAAAAGTCAATCGAACAAAATGAAAACGCATCACAACTCATTTAAATACTAGTGGGGGTTATCTTATTGATATGTCGGACTCAGTTTAAGTGAAATCCTAACTACGACACTGTAAGTAACGATGACGTACATACGTAACCATAAATTAATAACGATGACGCGACTGTAGGTGTCAACGTAACTATCAATTGAGCATGTGAATCTGCACTAGAATTCAGGACCATATGTCGAGCAACAGGGGTCAAATATTCAAACATATATGTGTGTGTACATGGCTAGCTAGGGAACAAATAAAAGGTGTAGGAAATCTCGCAACGATTTACGGTGTGGTGGTCTAACATATATAAATTTGGGATATTGATGGGCTTGTAATTCATTACTTCATCAGCTAGCCTAGAATATTTCACAATAGCAGGGAGGGTTGGGTTGCACCCATGCATGCATGACAGCAAGGTTACAGCTAGCCAGCCAGCATCCCAGAAAGTACGTTCCGTTTTCATGCAAGCAAGTTGGCGGGGTTGATTTGATGACGAGTTATTATTATTAGTATTACCTTCCTTCCTAATCGATCATGACCAGTTTAATTTCAGAAAGATTCACGTACGACGTACCTCCATCGACGTTAACGTTGCGTTTTAGCATGGTTCTGCAATCCACTGGTAAGTCGGCCGGCACAAGCAGAATGAATTAGTATTGGGACACAAACCGGCTGGAATATCACCGCTATGAAGAGATGGTCAAAATCGATATAAAAGAATTCGGTCAAATCGGAAAACCAGTGGTCCGACTGGAACGATTGATTGACAAAAGAAAGATTTTGTGTTGTTTTTCAAGTATGAACATTGATGAGATGTTGATGTTATTTGTTGGATTCAAGTATAACCGATTGGATGTTAGACGTTTATAAATGTTGTATTGAACATGTTGATTTGTTATTTTGTTTGTGATATGGTATTTTATTTAAAATTATGGATCTAAATTATGGAGAAATTGTCCTAAGATTAAGATAGACTATACATATGCATAATTCATTTGGTGTAAATTATTTCCCACTCTCACACCCATGTTTTAAGGCATAAATCTAAATATAAATTGGGTAGTACCCCCGATCAAGTCATACCCGAAACTGGCATAATGATTGAAACCGGTTGGACAACCTTGCATTCTAGAGATGTATTTAATACACCCAATACGTCTAACTGTGATCCTTTATAAGGATCGTCATGTATATATGTACGGAAATTTAACTGTGGTTCAACATGTTAAGAACGGATCGAGAGATAATCGAAAATGCAAAAAAATAAAAAACACACATATTGAAGTCATATCAACACATCTCAACCTTTGCTTGAATCCTCACTCCAAATCTCATATGTACTCGGATCCGGTCTCTCCCCCGTCTCAATGCCCCCGAGAGCCTCAACTGCACTCAAAACATTCAGCAAGTCCAAATAGTGTTTGAACTGGCCATATGTGGAAACCGATTTCATGAACATATCATCAATATTGTCGATCAAATAATCCGATTTAAATCATATCAACCCAGCATATTGCATATATATCGTCGTAATTAGTGAAGCTACAAGGCAAGGAGCCTAGCTCATAGGCCTTTATAGAGGCAAAATGCTTGTAAATGAAAGTCAATTTATTTTTCCCAAATCACACCTAATCCAAAAGGATCACTGAATTCATGGAGAGGTTTATTGGTAATGTATGGGGTAGAACAAAGATTGACAAAGACTACTACTATACACGGTTTATGAAACCAACAACACAGCAACAGCTGCATTTATACAATTCCAGCTTTCGTTGTCATTCTCACAAATGACAGCCAGCGCATATATATTCTGCATATATGTACGTGTATGGATAATAATATTAATCATATATCCAAACTTACTCTTTGGCCTTCTCTTCCCCATAATTATGCTTTTCATTTTTCATTGCTACAAAATTGAATGATATTGAATATAACTTAGTAATTACATAGTTTAGTAATTCTATCGAATATGCATGTGACCCCTTCAGTATGTAATCATGATTGTGACTATGTCTTTGGATTTTTTATTTAAATATATATCAAACTAAATATTGTTATGGAGATCAGATTAAAAAAATTTGTGCAAAAATATCTAAGTTCATGGCTGAATGAAAAAAATACGCGTCGATTAAGAATAGCAGGAGAATTGAAAAGGAAAGGGTGAGAACGTGTCTAAAAGAAAGTAAAAATATCTTGCATTGATCATGTCGAAAACCATTTTAAGACAAGAAAGTTAACATATTTTGCCCAGCCTATTCAAAACTATTTTATGATACTGTTGGTCATGTCTAAAAGAAGTTTAAATATTTTGCATTGATAGGTACAAATATGATAGAATATCGAAATACAAAATCACAAGACTCAATTTTTTCGAAATTAGAACGTTCAACGAGCAGGATTCAGCCTAGTTTAATCTATAGATTATTATTTAGTGCTCAATTCCTTCCTGCGAAATCTTTTACCATATGAGAGACATTTGTTTTTTATTGGCTCGATATGGCACTTGTGAGTAAAATATCTTCTTAATGAGTGTCCGATCGACTTTTTCTAGCTATATGGCTCAAAACTCAAAAGAGAACTCCGCAACAAACTGCCTACTATGTAACACAAATACACAAGATTGTAAAAGTATCAAGAAAGAAGTTACCTTCAGGCCTCAGCAAACGACAACAATTACCGGGGGGAAAAAATACCTTCAGCAAATAAATAATGTAATATATTGATTTTCTCAAGTAACAAAATTCAAACTATATTAAAGAAAGACCAGCCCCCCTCTCACCTAAAAAGTAGAAGAACAAGAAAGCGGACCCTGGCCCGGCTGGATATGATTGATTGCACAAGTTTTCAATTAACAACTCCAATAGCAATAGCATACCATCCCTTGCCCAAGTTAATCCACTAATCCTCCACCATCATTTATTTATTCATTCATGTTTTCTTCTCTAATAAAGATGTACGTTTAATTTAATAAAAATCATATTTATGGATGTACAAAAGAAGTAGTCGTGAGCTCAAATTCATCATCGATGGCTCAATTACAATACTGGTGACCAAGACTGTAGGGCCATTCACATATTGGTCCCTCAACTTTTATTTTTAACAAATTTCTCCTTCATAATTTCAGATAACCAACCTAATAACTACATCCTTCATTATCTCTCAAAATTAATATCTACGCTATGTGGTTTCAAACTGGGCATATAACTTTTATCTACTACGAACTAAACGATGCATATTAGCATACACAACTACTCATATCAAATAACAAAACATACATTCTTTCCGCTGACACAAACGATCTATTTGATCCTAAAATCAACCCAAACTAAACACTTTGCTCAACAAATTCCGATCTGCATTACCCAACACCACCCTCGTAAGTCAAAATCCCTGCCCAGTCAAATTAGTTTACACGTTATGAATAGATGGAAGGATTCTTCTGTTGATCGTTCTAAAGTTCAGTGATAAGTTAGTTAAAAATCAAAACTATAATTGAACAAAATGACCCCCAAAGTTCAATGACCACTCATGTAATTGACCAATCATTCATTCTCAACTCTCAAGTTGTTGTCTTATAAATAGGCAAAAGCATATCATTCCCCCTCTTCATAAAGAACTCGTCACTAATTTGCACCAACAATATACAAGCATTCACCAAAAGGCAAAAGCAGAAAACTCAGAAAGGAAACCACAACAAGAAATTTCTCCTTCTCTGCCCCCAGTGCCAAAAGGCCCAACAAAAAAAGCTCATTTCCAACCCGTCTTTCTTCATTTCCCCCTCCCTTTTCCTTCCTCCGTACTCTTTTGGCAATGGAAGACGACGAAGACCTTGCAGAGCCATTCTGGCTCCAAACCGCCGACGGGCACCGCCGCCTCCGCCGTCGCCGCCAGCTCTCCTCCATCTTCCTCAACTCCGGCCTCCTCCTCACTCTCCTCCTACTAATCGCTTGCCTCTTAATCTTCCTAATCATCCCTTCCTTCCTCTCCTACACCTCCCAAATCTTGAGACCTCACTCCGTGAAGAAGTCCTGGGACTCGCTGAACTTGGTTCTCGTCCTCTTCGCCATCATCTGCGGCTTCCTGAGCCGAAACGGCGTCCAGCGGAGCAACAACGGCAGCGGCAGCTATGAGCCAGCCGCTTCCGCCGCGAGGACTTCAGTCAGTTCTAGTTACTATGAGGATCATCGAAGGTTTCAGCAATCGGCTCTGGCGGAGAAGATATCGCTGTCATCGCCGCCTCCGCAGCGGAGACTCGGCGATTACGAGCGGTATCAGGATCGATTTAATCACTCTGCTGGCGGTGGAGGTATGAGTAGACTGAGGAGCATCAATTCGTATCCAGATCTGAGGCAGGAATCGTTGTGGAGCGGCGGTGGTGATGCTGCTGGAGATGATCGGTGGCGGTTTTATGATGATACGCACATTAGGGATTACAGTTACAGATTCCCTTCCTCTTCCGCCGATGAAATCCTCCGCCACCGCGAGGTTGCTAAGGAAGAAGAAATGCCGGTGGCGGATGTGAAGGAGAGCGAGAAAGAGAAGGAGATTGCGGTGGATACGGTTACGGTAGTGAAGGAGGAGGTAAAGGAGGAGGAAGTGATGGCGGCGGCGGATCCGTCAGATCCGCCTCCTCCTCTGCTTCCGGTGGATCTGCCGTCTCCGCCTGTGCCCGCTCCTTCATCTCCGCCGCTGCCACCGCCTGCGAAAGCGGCGAAGAGGAAAGTGCAGAGGACGTATCGATCCGTCGGTCAATCGAGAAGTAGCGATGGCCGCGAGGAGAGAGAGATGGACATCGAAGATTTCTACAAACGACCGCCGCCGTCGTCGTCTCGGTCTCCGCCGCAGAAGGCTGTTAGTAGAAGGAGAGTTAAGAGGAATGTTAATCGACCGGAGTTTGTGGAGAGCATTAAAGAAGAAGAAGAGGAAGAAAAGACTGTGGTGGAAGAAGTCAAGTACGTCTATCTGCCGCCACCATCGCCTCCGCCTCCTCCTCCGCCTCCGCCTCCAGAGAAGAAGAAGAAGACAAGTAAGGATTTCTTGATTTCTCTGAGAAGGAAGAAGAAGAAGAAGCAGAGGCAAAATAGCGTCGACAATCTCGCGAGCTTGTTCGATCCGGAGTCCGAATTTCCGCCGACGCAATCAGAATCCTCCATTCCGCCGCCGTCGCCTCTGCCACCGCCTCCTCCCCCGCCGCCTCCGCCGCAGCATTTCCTGCAAAATCTGTTCTCTCCTAGGAGAGGGAAGTCCAAAAAAGTCCACTCAGTCTCACTCGCTCCACCGCCGCCGCCGCCCCTTCCACCTCGTCGACGAGCTGCTGATTCAACAGAAGTCCACCTCTCCAGAAGCGTCCAGCGCTCAATGGACCATCCGTCCGTATCCCGGGCCAAATCGGAACGAGCTCAGGTTCCTGCATACGTAATTTCGAACCGAGAGGAGCCAGGGAACGCGTCGCCATTGATTCCGATACCGCCTCCGCCTCCACCGCCGCCGTTCAAGATGCCAGCGTGGAGGTTCGAGGTTCGCGGTGATTACGTCAGAGTAGCCAGCTTCAACAGCTCGCGAAGCGGATCACCTGATTTGGAAAGTGAGGATCCCTCCGACAGGGAGTCCAGTCCGATGGCCGGTGGATCGCCGGCGGCGACGGCGGGATCGCCGTTGTTCTGCCCGAGTCCCGACGTGGACACCAAGGCCGATAATTTCATCGCCAGGTTTAGAGCTGGTCTAACGTTGGAGAAGGTGAAGTCCAATCTCGGCCCAGGAGTAGGAGAAGGCCCAATTTGAAGCTTGTTTGCTTTCTTTTCACCCCACATTTTTTATGTTTAGATTGGATTTGTTTATTTTTTTCATTTAATTTTTCTTTTTTTTTTTGTTTGGTGAGGATTTGTGAATGTGAGTTGCACACTGCCCCTCTTTGAGTTCTGACTTATACTATATGGATTAAGATATAAAAGATAAAAAGAATATACAGAGATATGGAATTTCTTTTGAAGATTGAAGTATATAAATATAATCAACCTAAAACGAAAGAATATTGAGAAATTTGTATTTTGTACATTGTTTTGACTGCATTAAACCAATTTGTTTAAGTGAATGCAATTCGGTTCTTGACTTTTTTTGGTGACGTAACTTTGATTGTCTAGTTCGTTTATTTCTTCTTGTTATAGGTAACTTCTTGTAAGGTTCTTATGATAGTTGTTGACAAATGAGGAAGGATTGGAAGTCTTGCAAATTTCATCACCCTAGGTTTGTGATGATGTTTGTATTGCATATGTTGTAAGAAAATATAATTTATTTTAATGATTTATGTTTTTTTCAAGAACATAACTTCTATTGGAAGTCAAACACTCGAAACATTATCATTTCTTAATTTCTTTAGAGATAATTATCTTTGTTGTTTCTTACAATACAAAACAAGGGAGGATAGAAAGTCTCATGAGCTCAAAATCGTCATTTTGAGTTTGTAACGATGCCTCAAAGATTGTTTTATTTGAGTTATAATCGATTTAATAGTACTTGTTTGTAATGTTGCTGGAACTTGTGTTATTGGGTTGATAAAATCTTAACGTTATATGTCTAATGATGTCTTTAGCAAAGGAAAGAGAAAAGGAGAAAGGCATCTAATCGAATTCCTTTTACTTTGGATGCCATTAAGCCTCATCCTATTATCTATGATGATATAGTAATGCAATTGATTAACCAAATTAATCAAATCCAGACCAAAGAAGGTGGCTAAGAACATGGAAGGATGTCTTAACCATGGAAAGCTACAAAGTCTTAATTAAAATTGGAAAAATAATATAGAATACACATGGAAAATGGTTGGTTTTTATTCTAACCCAACCCAGCCAATGACTTGCCTTGCAATCAATTACAACAGTGTTCCCATCAAAACCAGGTTGGAGACAACCTTTTTTCCACACAGTTTCCATGTTTTGCTTTTGACCATACAATAACAATAATAATGTGTCACCAAAACGTTTTAAATTCAAGACTAACAAGATAACCAAACCAAAATGACCAACCTCTCCCCCCACATTATTATTGTATATTATAGTTTACTTGTTGCTGTAGGTAAGTTGTTGGACAAGTTCTTCAATGGAGCTTTCTTGCTTCACAATGCTCTCAGCCCACCTGGCTTTGATTCTCACTTTCTCTATGCTCTGCTTCAAGTTCATATCGATCGCTCCTGTCCAGTGCTCTGCGAAGAACTCCTCGATCTCGTCGGCCTTCTCGTGGCTACAAAACTAAAAACCACAAAACCAAATCAACCACCATGATCGAGATATGTTTATGTGTGATCTTGTTTTCCTTGGACAATGGATTGATCTACCAAATCAACATCAATGCTGGGTAGACTGTCGAAATTGTCACATTAAACTATGATGTTCCTACTAAAATGGTTATACATCCTAACCAGATTTTGATTAAACTATGTAACTAATAGTAAATAAAATCATTGTGCCTAATCTGTCGTTAATTCTGCTAAATTGACATGGTTCAATAGGCCTGTTATCTCTCCATAATTGTTCAATTAACACCCTTCCACACCCACTGGAGCAAGCCATTTCCATCTGGAGGATGGATTGGATGTTGGGTTGAGAATTAGGTTTGAGGGCCATGTTCAAGTTGGAAAGGAAAGGGAAGGTAAACAGGGTTCATGGGGTGTTGATTGGACAAATTTTAGTGACTAGGTGGTCCTATTTGACATGCTACCTTAGTCTAACTGATATGTCTGCAATGGAGTGAGATTGAAACAATTCTTTCTTTACAATCCACTAAACTTAATTACTATGTTGTTAAACTTTTTTAGTGACCATTTAAGCATGTAATTAACACTGCTTTCACTTACAGGTGAGACTATGTCTCTGACAAAATGCGTGATCAACAATCCATCACCATACTTGTTCAAGATGAAGCTCCACTTCTCCTGGATACCCAGGAAACCAAAAATCTCGAAAAGATGAGAATCACCATGAAAATTTTAGTAAAACTAAACAGATCAGATATTGGACATGTAAAAAACACCTTCAGCCATCTCCATGCCATTTCACGGCCTTCTAGGCTTATTCCAGCCAATCCATAGACTATATCTTGATCTCTTACTGCATCAGAGACTACTAACAGGTTGAGGGCATCTTCGACGACTTCTGGATCTGATGAAGTCGCTATGCAGCCTGCATTTGCGCGCAATCAGAAATATAGAAGACTATGATCAATGGTGATACTAATCAATCTTTAGTCTAGAGTAAAAGTTTGGATTGTCCTTAACGCAAGACACGTTCTTTCTCTTGGACTGCATCAGATTCTCTATAGATCTTCAGCAATGACTCGAACCCGTCTCTCTTTGTGTTCGTGCTGTTCGAATTCCTCATTGCAGCAACATATGCAGCCTGCAGAAAAATTCGCCCCATCAGATAATCCGATTGTAATTCAGCTTGCCATCACAAGGAGTGAGGCCAAATGATACCTTTCTTGTGTCAGCTGAAAGGAAGGGTGTGTTTCTGTCATTTAAGAAAGCCTCGAATCGGTTCATTGCCTCGTTGATGGTTCCATCATGTCCTAGAACAGCCAATGTAAGGAGAATTTCTCCCCTCAGAAGTGCATCCAAATGGCTCTCTCCTGGAACTGATTCCCACCCCAGTTTCCTATCTCAAGCCAAAAAAAAGATAGAGGAAACCTTTGTTAAGGAGGGTTGTTGAGGAATTTTGAAATCCTAACCTCATCAGGATTAGGCGAAGCGACGGATGATGCCTGTTACCCTGCAGAGAATTGGAGGAGACTGATGAAGAATGCTTTCAGATCATTGACTGAACCCGGAATGGCATCTGTGGAGACCTCTAGAATGCTGTAACATATCTGTTCAGCAGAATTGGTGATCATGAATTCATCCATGCATAATCAATGGCAAAGAGAAAGCAAGTTCAGTGGGATTACATCCATGAGTCTTGACAGAAGGGCATAGTCAAGCTCCTTTCTGTACACATCCATGAGGGACAGCAAATTTGATAATGGAAGTTCACAAGATTCACAAAGAGCAAATACGTCATCCAGAATTCCTGGAATCAATATTTCAAAGTGCAAGATTTTGTCAAGATAGAGAATAAGAAAGACTGTAACTTTAAATGCTTATCAGTGTGATGCTATACTTGCCAAATTTATCTGTTGCTGATAACTGATTGTCCACTACAGCCTTCTTCAGCCTTGCTGCCAGTTTGTTTTCATATTTCACTCTGTAGAACCCACTTTGCTCGACGTTAACTTTGATCCATAGATCTTCACCAAACGAGATTGGATCTCCATTGGAGGACTGATCAAGATCAGACAGGTGAAACCTTCCAACTTCTGTTTCCAACAAGAATGTCTTCCTTCTCTTGTAAGATCCAAGGATCAAGGTGATTGGAACTATCCAGTTAGCATCATTGGAAGCTTGCCCCGATGATAAGAATTGAGCCTGCAGGTCGTAAGCCACTATCGGGTTTCAATCAAGTTCATCAATGAGTACATGACATACACTTACATGTTTGAGGTTTCCAAACCTGTTCAAATTCCAAGAACTGATCTTTAAGTTTGACAGAGATGACTGGATATCCTTTCTGCTTTGTCCAACTGTCCATCATCGAGTTTACCCGAACACCTGACACTTCTGACAGAACACTCCACAAATCTTCTGTCTTGGCATTTCCCCAAGCATATCTCTTCATGTATGCACTCAAGGATTTCTGGTTTAAAAGTCCATAACACATACAGTTAAGCATATAAAATTACGTAACAAAACGATTACATCCTCAAATAACTTCCTCATCACCTGAAAAATGGCATCTCCAAGATAGCCCTGCAGCATTCTGACAACAGAAGACCCCTTTTTGTAGCAGACATCATCGAAGGTTTCGTTCACCAACCGAGCATACTTCACCTCTATCTGTAAGTACAGAAAGGCTGCAACTTGTTAGAGAAAACACCACAATATAATTACTTCAATGGAGTGTGATTACTTAATCCTTGTCATGCCTCAATTGGATGTGATCCTTGAAGTGCATCGATCCGTAGGCCACTCGTGACCATTTGAAGAAACTGAGCCCATATTTTCAATTCCGGAAACATAATGTCTGTTGCTAAGTAACTTATCTGTCAATGGAAACCAAAGAACTCATCAGGCAAGAAGAAAAACATCGAAAATCATTGCAAAGAGAGATGGAGAATATATAATACCCAAGTTGCAAAGCCTTCATTAAGCCATAAATGAGTCCACCATTCCATTGTAACCAGATTGCCAAACCAATGGTGTGCTACTTCATGTGCCATAACAATTGCCAACTGCAACAGACAAAGAAAAAAGACAGGTCATATTTTCACATTTTTCATACCATTCGGAATCATTGGATCTAATTTGGAAGCCTAATCAAATACCCTTTGCTTCCTGGAAGCTGAAGACATCAGGTCATTCTGAAGTAACTCGTTCTCGCGAAAGATTATGAGACCATTGTTCTCCATAGCTCCACCAGAAAACTCAGGGACAGCAACCATATCAAGCTTAGGAAGTGGATATCCCATTGAGAAGTATCTAAAAGTTCAAAATGTCCCATTTTAACCAAGTCAGAAATTATATTAATCAAATCATTCATTCGAACAGCAATAAAAAAGAATGGGTCATCACTTACTGACTAAACAGATCAAGTGACTTGACAGCAAGGCTAAGAGCATATTTCCCTTCATCTCTTTTCCCTTTAGGGCAATATACGCGAACCTTAATCCCTGCAAATAGTCAATCCATTCAAGAAAAC